GTAACATTGTCACTACATTACTAATAATAGCCAGTAACATTGTCCCTACATTACTAATAATAGCCAGTAACATTGTCACTACATTACTAATAATAGCCAGTAACATTGTCACTACATTACTAATAATAGCTAGTAACATTGTCACTACATTACTAATAATAGCTAGTAACATTGTCACATTACTAATAATAGCCAGTAACATTGTCACTACATTACTAACAATAGCCAGTAACATTGTCACTACATTACTAACAATAGCCAGTAACATTGTCACTACATTACTAATAATAGCTAGTAACATTGTCACTACATTACTAATAATAGCAAGTAACATTGTCATCACATTACTAATAATAGCTAGTAACATTGTCACTACATTACTAATAATAGCTAGTAACATTGTCACTACATTACTAATAATAGCTAGTAACATTGTCACTACATTACTAATAATAGATAGTAACATTGTCACTACATTACTAATAATATCTAGTAACATTGTCACCACATTACTAATAATAGCCAGTAACATTGTCACTACATTACTAATAATAGCCAGTAACATTGTCACTACATTACTACTAATAGCCAGTAACATTGTCACTACATTACTAATAATAGCCAGTAACATTGTCACTACATTACTAATAATAGCTATTAACATTGTCACTACATTACTAATAATAGCCAGTAACATTGTCCCTACATTACTAATAATAGCCAGTAACATTGTCACCACATTACTAATAATAGCCAGTAACATTGTCACTACATTACTACATAATAGCTAGTAACATTGTCACTACATTACTAATAATAGCCAGTAACATTGTCACTACATTACTAATAATAGCCAGTAACATTGTCACTACATTACTAATAGCTAGTAACATTGTCACTACATTACTAATAATAGCCAGTAACATTGTCACCACATTACTAATAATAGCCAGTAACATTGTCAATACATTACTAATAATAGCTAGTAACATTGTCACCACATTACTAATAATAGCCAGTACCATTGTCACCACATTACTAATAATAGCCAGTAACATTGTCACTACATTACTAATAATAGCTAGTAACATTGTCACTACATTACTAATAATAGCCAGTAACATTGTCACTAATAATAGCTAGTAACATTGTCACTACATTACTAATAATAGCTAGTAACATTGTCACTACATTACTAATAATAGCTAGTAACATTGTCACTACATTATTAATAATAGCTAGTAACATTGTCACTACATTACTAATAATAGCTAGTAACATTGTCACTAAATTACTAATAATAGCTAGTAACATTGTCACTAAATTACTAATAATAGCTAGTAACATTGTCACTACATTACTAATAATAGCCAGTAACAATGTCACTACATTACTAATAATAGCTAGTAACATTGTCACTACATTACTAATAATAGCCAGTATCATTGTCACCACATTACTAATAATAGCTAGTAACATTGTCACTACATTACTAATAATAGCCAGTAACATCGTCACTACATTAGTAATAATAGCTAGTAACATTGTCACTACATTACTAATAATAGTTAGTAACATTGTCACTACATTACTAATAATAGCTAGTAACATTGTCACTACATTACTAATAATAGCTAGTAACATTGTCACTACATCACTAATAATAGCTAGTAACATTGTCACTACATTACTAATAATAGCCAGTAATATTGTCAGTACATTAATAATAATAGCTAGTAACATTGTCACTACATTACTAATAATAGCTAGTAACATTGTCACTACATTACCAATAATAGCTAGTAACATTGTCACTACATTACTAATAATAGCCAGTAACATTGTCACCACATTAATAATAATAGCCAGTAACATTGTCACTACATTACTAATAATAGCCAGTAACATTGTCACCACATTACTAATAATAGCCAGTAACATTGTCACTACATTACTAATAATAGCTAGTAACATTTTCACTACATTACTAATAATAGCCAGTAACATTGTCACTGCATTACTAATAATAGCCAGTAACATTGTCACTACATTACTAATAATAGCTAGTAACATTGTCACTAAATTACTAATAATAGCTAGTAACATTGTCACTACATTACTAATAATAGCCAGTAACATTGTCACTACATTACTAATAATAGCCAGTAACATTGTCACTACATTACTAATAATAGCTAGTAACATTGTCACTACATTACTAATAATAGCTAGTAACATTGTCACTACATTACCATAATAGCTAGTAACATTGTCACTACATTACTAATAATAGCCAGTAACATTGTCACTACATTACTAATAATAGCTAGTAACATTGTCACTACATTACTAATAATAGCCAGTAACATTGTCACTACATTACTAATAATAGTTAGTAACATTGCCCCCACATTAGTAATAATACAGTGGTTCGCAAACTTTTTTAGTGGAGCCCCCCTTTTAAACCTTTAAAACAATCTGGGCACCCCCAGATGTAAAATAATAACTATTTAATAATTAATTAATAATTATTTTAATGTAAAATAAATGTAACTACTCCTTAATGTTAAATAACTTATTATTTATAGCTTATTTAAGTGACAATTCGGTTGCATGGTGTTAAGATATGATCCTTATGCGCTCTTACCTGGTTAGGAACACTACCCAATTGCAGAGCACGTTACTTACGTTTGTTATCTCGTATGTACATGTGTGAGATGTACCGTTGAGAGATGATTTGAGTTTGAGTTTATTAAAGAAGAGTTTCAGTCATTGAGAGCGTTTTGTTTTCCTCACGCGAGCAAGAGAGAGAGAGGGAGAGAGAGCTGTGATGCGTGCATCTGTGCACCTGACGTCAAACACATGGAAACAATTGTATGCTTGCTGTTCCTTTTGTAAATCCTTTTGATTTTTGTCAGCTTATGAAAACCCACATAACTCCATTAAGAAGGATCAAACTGTCCAAGTTTGTGAAACTGTCCAAGTGAATGTTTAGCAGAAAAAAAACCCTCACAGACTGAAGACGATGCAGATCGATCATCATCTTATCGAAACATCGCAGATAAACTATTAGCTGTGCCCATTTCACATCTTGAAATGTATTTTAGCGTGAGAAATCGGGTTTGTAGCGTGAGAGATCACTCAAATGCGTTGAATGTGTGAGAAACGGCAGCTGAGCTCTGTAGTTTCGCTCGTGAGTATGGATGCGGAAGCCAAAGGCATTATGGGAAATGTAGTTTTTTTCCCCCGTTTTCGTTACGACCGCGCTATGGCAGAGATGGGCTATGACGTCAGCGCGCAGCGCTGGGTGTACAAATATGGCCGCGGCTTCGGCCTTGCACCGGAGCTCTTACGCCTCTCATACAGCCGTGACCGGACTTCGCGGCGCTCTGCATTCGCTCGAAAAGACGCACCAACTTTTCCCCCTCTGTTTTGGGGAAGAAAAAGTGCGTCTTATGAGCCGAAAAATACGGTACTTTTAAAACTAGGATAGTGTCATGGACTGGCTACCTGCCATGGGCTGAGAGGGGCTCTCCTTAGGTGTCATCCATGTGTCCTTTGACTATTAAGTAATGCAGCATGTCGAGCAGACAGGTTAATCAGATCTGGAAAAAAGTATCTTTGGTGTTGCTTTGAGCCTTTCATACCATGAAATCACAGCACCAAGCTTTCCAACTGTGCTTTCCTGCCACATTGATGGGCAAATGGCAGTGCTTTGAGGATGATCTGTATCATCACAGAGTTCTTTGTACTCTAGTGTTCGGTGCAAACAAGATGCTTTGAGGACATTCATAGTATGAGCAACTAATAGGACATTTTTGGTTCACGTAGAGTTCACGTGGCTTAAGGCAATATATATGTGCATAAGTTATTTAATTATGAGCTGAGATCAAAGCTAACAAGGGATAACTCTTGAATGGTAAATGCCAAGAGATACTGTGTACCAACACAGTTGCATTTGGAACGTGTCTCCCTCCAACTCAGAAGGCTTGCATTTAAAGAAAAACAAGTATGGATCAAAGATAAGCTCAAATCACAAATCTGATCTTAAAGTAAAAATCTGAATTGTTTAATAAACATGGATACTTGTTTGTTCAATAGAATCCATTGTGGTTTGATCCCTATGCCTATGTTTCTCAACTTATAAAAAGGAAAAACTGAGTAGTACAATTATACTAAGTTCAGGTTATATACATACAGTTAAAAAAAATCAGTCAAAACATAAATAGTAATTTTCTGGGTTTCTAGGGATGAGAGATGCAGAATCTTTCATACCATAAGGAACCAACCATCACAGAGTTCTAAACAAACTGTAAGTATCCTGGTAATACTCAATAAATAATTCAAACTTGACTTTCTTTACCTTATACCTGAGAACAAACTTCAGTTTTCAACTTTATTATAAGCCAACATCAGGCTTATAATAGTCTGAATAGGCAAAATAAATTGGGTGCACAAGGTAGAATTATTCGTTCCCCATGCAAATATGATATAAAACAGCTCCTGTGTCTCTATGATTTGGATTTTCCTGAGCTGAAAGGGTGATTACTAGGTGAGCAGTCTGGTTTCTATAGAAGGGTCTCTGACACAATATATTGTTGCCCATGTTAACATAAGTTACACAAACCAACCCCCATGTTTATCATTAACCAGAGGAGAGATACAGTTCCGAAAATTTGGTTACTAGGGTAAACAATTTGTTTGCTAGGCAGCAGAGGTGGGACCAAGTCACTACTTTACAGGTCAAGTCAAGTCCCAAGTCAATGCAGGGTAAGTCCAAGACAAGTCTAAAGTCAAGGCAAGTCAAGTCAAGTCCAAAGTTAAGGCATGTTAAGTCCCAAGTCAAGAGAGGGAAAGTCCAAGTCAAGTTCCAAGTCAATCCAGAGCAAGTCTAATAAAAGTTCAAAGTCAAGGCAAAGCAAGCCCAATCAAGTTAAAAGTCGTCAAATTTTCATTTCAAATCATCTAAAGAAAAACAAAAAACAAAGCAATAATAGATAGCTTTCCTGTGGCTCAGTTGGTAAAGTACTCTGCTAGCAACGCAAATGTTGTGGGTTCAAACACCAGGGAAAGCAAGAACGCGAACTCGCACAGAGTGAAATGCAAGTGTGAATTGATTATTAATCAAGTCATTCTGAGTCAAGTCGCTAGTCATTGGTATTCAAGTCTAAGTCGAGTCGCAAATATTTTGCCATACTGCCAAGTCAATACTCAAGGCAGATGACACATCTGCTAGGTAGCTGTCAGGGATGACGGAAAATAAACCAATTTTACAAACATCTTAAGACAATGGAAAATTCCCCAGCATTCACTGCAATTTCCCAGAATTTCTTTAGTGGTACTAGTCTGAAAAGATATACCGACCCGAGTCAGACCAGTTTGGATGTCTTCGGAAAGATTGCTGGCTGTATCTCAAATGGTCTAGGAGGAGATATGTTTAGACTTTTTTTGACAAGCCAACATAAGGCATAGATGAGCAACATAAACCAATCCTGTAAAACTCCTGGTCACCTGACTGTAGATGAACTGTGGGTAAATGAATCAGCTCTGTGTGTGGGACAGCGGGCAGACAACGCCCCAGACACCTGGGCACTGTACTGACTCAATCATCAAATACTGGCACGATTCCAGAGCTGTGCTGAGAGCCACTTCCTGTAGAAATGCTGAGTCCACGATGCCCGGTCACATGGCATCAGCACCTGCCAAACAAACTACTCCTCTCCAAGTGTGTGACCATGTGGAAGTAAAAGATGACTGTTCTAATGCCTGCTTTAAAGTGATTGGGCTGAATGAGATGTTTACATTTGCTCATAGCCGTCTCCCCTAGTCCATTTCAGGTTCTTTTCTCGTGCTAGCATTAGCCACGCGAACCGTGAGAAACTAATCTAGATGAGTGATTCACAAGTGACCGGTGCACTACAAAAGAACCAAATCCACACCGGGCATCTGTGAGGTTTAGGCCGGGTGATTCAGGATGAGTGATATCTTTTGCAGCTGCTTAATTCCAAATCTTTAATATTTCTATTATTGGGGGCAGTATCAAGAATGTAGACCTCATTGTTTGCTCGTGCTTCTCTTTCGAGATAGCCACGCCCACTAAGCAGTACACACCTATATCACGTTTTTTAAGTCAAAAGACACTTCAAAAAAGCAGGGTTCATGGCCCTTTTATTTAGATACAATTAAAAATCTGGCAAAAGTGTGGGGAAGGTGTGGCTGATATCTTTAATGCAGCCATTCTTCAGGTGATTTGTGGCGTACAGGGTTTAGTCAAACAGCGCTCTCTAACCAATAAGAAAATTAAGGTCGCTCTCTACATACTGGTCCGAATTGAGATTCGCGCGACTCTGCGGATGGCTCCTCAGCAGGGGGCTCTTCTTCTGAGTCAAGGAAATATTGATGCAATGGCGCTTCCAGGGTGTAGATAGCATTTGCAGTACAACAGATGCACTCCGCGCCACTCAGAGAAACAGGAAAGAAGACGACGACAGAGGAGAAATCAAAGAACGCACAGAAAAAAATCCTGGATGTTGAGTGGTTTCTACTGTTGGTGGCTGATCACATGAGAAAAATGTGGAGAAAAAAAGAGGATTTGTGGTGAGCTGCTTCTTTCCTGTTTTCTCTTAGATTCTACTCATGTCATCAAAGGAACCAACGTTCATTCATTGTTTCTTGTTGACACCACTAGTTTTGTTCAATGTGTGATGTTACACTGGCGCCCATGGTTTTCGACATGTTGTAGCCTTTAGATTCCCCCCAGGTTGTGTGCGACACACTTGCGGATCAGATACACTTACATCTCCAAGCTAATAATCAATGTTACCCAAGTACAGATCGAATTAAGGATGACACAATACAGAACTGTATAGTACACCACCCACGGAACTGCCCTCTTGTGTAAATATCCAATCAGTGAGTGCTAAATTTAGAGGAGGGTGGAACTTCTTGTTAGAGACCAGTATGAATCGGTCCGGTGAAGATATCTACTTTATGTGTTTTACTCTAACTACAGCCAACTAAGGGAGTCAAGTTTTAAACCTGTGGTTTGGAGACATTTTGGCTCTGCTGTTGAATACGACAAAGAGGAAAAAAGAACGGTAAACAAAAATGTGACAGTGTGCAAATGTGACTATTTTGTACATATAATTATGTAAAAGGCAACACATGAAACATGAGCGGAGCCCGAACAAGGCACACACACAGCGAAAGAAAGACTCTGTGAATGCTTCAACCAGCCAAATCCAACTAATTCAGAAATACCAAATTTCTCTAGTTCTGTTGCTCTAGTACATACGGAATACTGTGCAGTTTCTATATTTTCTTTTAGTTTATTGTTTATTTAAAGTGTCGATCTTTGAAAATGTGTAGTAATGTTTGGAAATTTTGGGAAAATAAAGTGAATTATATCAAACACCTATTTTTTTTAAATCTGTTCATGTGATCTTTACAAAGGATGATAAAAAAAAAATACCAATTTGTTGAGCCATCAGAACAGTGGTTAAAAACAGAGGTATGGATCGAACTAGGGCAAATAATCTTTATTAATTGAAGTTTAGGGATGAAGATTTAGGTCGATTACAATTATTGAATGATTATTTTACAATAAATATAATTTTTATAAGTATATATTTAATTTTGAGTTAAAATACTACTTGAATTTTATTAAACATCAATAAATGTACAACTGAAGTTAGTGTTTAAGCTCGGCGTGTCGGCCGTAAACACACGCAGTTGTGTTTTTAATGTGAATCGGTCAGCGCTATATCGAACTGTGAGCTCTGTGTACCATTCTATCCCTAGATGAAATAGGAAGAGGGTGATTTTTTTTCAAAATTAAGTTTTCATGACAAAAGCCCTTCTAATGGCGATTGTATGATTCCCAAATAATTCCTCATGAAAATAGTTGATCCATAATTTGGTTAATATCTTCTTCTCCCCCTGGATTCACTCACTACTTGTATCTAACGGACCATCACTGAACCCCAGCACCAGGAACCAAAGAAATACAGCATTTTGTTGACTATAATGCTGTAAATAATTTCCGTTAACTCTTGGAAGTGTCTGCACGCACCGGTGCGAGTGCCAATCACATCGACGGTTTTGAATTAAGTCGAAACTATGTATATAACAGACCGTTTTTATTATTTTAATTTTAAATATAATTTTGAGGTTTCAAAAAGGTTATTAGTTTTGAAATTTTTGGTTTTACACGAACATAACTAGATTTATGACGCATAATTTGCAAAGTAATTCAAATTAAAATGTGAGAAAATGCGGGATCGTCTTCAGTTGCGTTTTACGGAGCCCAAAGCGATGCCATTAGCGCCCCGTAGTGGCAATATAACCTTTGGAAGCACAAGAGTTGTTCGATGGATTGCGTTTTGCAACTTATTCTGAAAATGAATTATTTTTCTCAACACCTTTTTAAAACACAAAAACTTTTCCAGTAAAAAAAATGTAAAAGTTATTAAAAAACATTTTTTGTACAACTTCAGATTTGTTGAAAGATTAATGAAAAAATATCTGTGAAAAAAGTAGCTGGGGTTGTACTAAAAATTTGCATTACCAGAAAAAAATGTTTAAAAGGTACTTTATTATTTATTATTATTCTGAGTCTATCACTTATACTCATGTCCATTGCTTATTCACTTCCTTAGTGCTTTTATTTACAGATTTATACTGAAATCATCAAATTATTAAACTCTATGTACATAAATGAATTATCAGAATTCAATAGAATACTTAAAGTTCCACCATCAAAAGTAAGTAAAGCTAAGGATGATTCATGACATGAAAACCCCATCAACACAAACCATCTGTGTTTCAAATCATTGGTTTATCAGCCTCTTGGAGTCGAGAGGGAGGGAGAGTCACACAAACACGGCAACCTTTCAGCTGTAGAGGACATTCGCTCAGCACAGGCGCACGTCACTGCAGTTACACACTCATGCTAACGCTCGGAGAAGCTGCTCGTGTCAATGGCCACATGCTTGTGGATGCCGGAGACTTACAGGACAGCGCTGCGCAGATCATCGGAAGATGAGAAGCATTCAGAGACAACAGAGCCCATGAGAAGCAGCTAGAGCGTGTCCGAGCGTCCGGCCTGACCTACATGAAGATGCTGTGTGTGTGGTTTCCTGGAGGCTGCTAGGACACAGCGCTGTGTTTGTGCTTCTTCATTACTGTATGTGCTCTGCTCCAGCGTCTCACTCCATCTGTAGGACGGTCGGGCGGATTGAGGGACGGGGGGGTGGGCTGAACGCACGTGCGTGTGAATGGAGCTTTATTTACATCCATCACGGCTGCTGCGTGTGGTTGGATGCTGTGCTATAAATATCTGCCGGGCTGATGATGGGAAATGCAGCGTGATTTCTGTCCGGGGTTAATAATCTGTCTGATATGTGTGATACGCATACACAAGCACTCGAGAGGCTGAATGAGTGCAGTGAACTGAAGCTTCATTATAATTTCTATAAGCTCCGAGCTGTGTTTACTCCATAACAAACACGAGCTCCCACAAATATGTGCATTTTACACTCAGCTGATCTCAGTCACTGATGATGGTTCCACTTTAAACAGTTCATTAGTCAAGAAACCAACGAGTTTCATCTTAGCCAGGGCTCTAGACTAACTTTTTGCACTGGTTGCACTGGTGCGCCTAAATTTTTTTCTTAGGTGCACCAGCACAAAAGTTAGGTGCACCCAAATTTTCAACTGCATCACATTTAACACCCCATTTTCACAAGTTCACTTTTTTTTAGTTCTCTATTTATTTATTTTTTTTAAATCACTGTCCATAGACAATATTGACTTGTAAATGATTAACTAACAACCTGGTCAATATAAAGTTCTTTATTTGAAGCACAATTCCACAAGAAAGGTAACTAAAACTTACTGAAAAGGTGTTTAAAGTGCTTTACTGAGCTGAAATTTAAACTTTAAACTGATTTTGGTCCCCAAGAGCAGCAAATGCTTTCTTTGAAGCAGCATTAATTCCTAATTAAACAAATAAAAACGATAATACCATTTACTACCCAGATCAAGAGTTTATAATGCAGCCTATTTATTTTTTATT